CAATCTTCAGAAAGACAGATGGAGGTTGAACAAGAGTTGACAAAATTATTAGCAAGAGAGACAAGCTAAAAGAGAGTTATATAAATTAGAGATTTCTTAAGAAAACAGACAGATAATAGAGTCCAGAAATAATACCCTTACTTTTATTTCATAATATATCATAATGTAGTTCCCCTATACTGCATTCCTCCAAAACCTGCACTAATGACAATGATAAACTTCTTCTTGTGTTCCTTCTATGGTTATGATAGTTGGTTTTAAAGCACTTCCAAGTTTTTTAGTCTAAGCTCTCTTGTAAAGAAGAAAAGCATTATTCTGTAACTGACACAGGAATTAGAACCAAAGATTTTTACAGTCATCCTATTGATATTCCCTGTTTATCTGTTACATTGATCCCCAAAGGAAATAATGTTTATATGACCACTCCACCCATCTCTGCCGACATCCATGTTATCCTTCTTCCCAAAACTCCTCCAGATTTACTTCTGAACCCTTTGTCCAGTGTCAATGACCTTTCACAAAGGGCAAAGGTCTCAGACATAATTAAGCTGTTAACAGTTTAATGAAACACAAAAGTCTGCCTCTGCATGTGCTACTTTAAGGGGTTTTCTCAAGAAAAACAATGCTACATTAGCATTAGCTACATCAACCCACCCTCACAGCAAAATCTACAGGGTTTTAGGCTTTACCAGCTCTCATGCTCATTAATTAATTATGAAAAGAGCTCAGCATTAACTGTTTGCACTGATTTCTGCACCCACTGGGCACATTCAGCACTGAGGATGTCTGACATTACAGGTTGAGCATCAAAGAAATGAACACAACTGCTACAAAATATAACAGCACAGGAAACATCAAGTTTGCAAAAGTCAAGTAAGGGAAACTTCTGTGCTGGAGCCTCACCTGACATTTAATTATGCAAATTGTTCAGCTCCTCACACAAGGACACACGTAGAACCAAGTTATCCTTGGTCACAACCATCTGTTTGGCAGCTATAAGCTCATCTTTATCCACCTTCTCCTCCTACCTTTACTCTCCTCTTCACAGCTTTAAAACTTTCAAAACAATTATTGAAATACATTGACTACATTTTCTAGGAAAGTCTTGTAATGGATATGCTTTGTGCAAAACCCAAGTACTCTTTCACCCAACTTGCTATTGAGCTGATTTCTGATTTATACTCCGAGAAGTTTTGAGGGAAAAATTAAATAAATGATACAGATCACAAAATGCTTCAGGAAAAGCACACCAAGTTCAGGAGAGAAGCACCAAATATTTGCCAGAAAAGCCAGAAAGCAGACAGATTAGCACTGGTTTTTAATCATCTGGCAAAATATCAAATCAACAGGCCTGTGGCCTTACAGAACAGCAAAACATTCACACCCTGATTTTACAGGATATTTTTTAAGAGGTTCCTGCAAGTGGCAGGAAAAGTATTAAACATTAAGCAATCTGGAAGCAACAGCACACAGAAATTAAAGGAAGTATTGAGGGAGCAAGAATATGTGATGACTTAGTACATACCCTTAGTACTGTACAATTCATACTTAGAGGGCTTACATGACACACATCTCTTCCACGTATTTCTTACAATACCTTGCCTGGTCGAAATTCTGGGAAGAGCTCTGTAACACTTGGCAACAGTTTGGTAGCATCTCGCTGCATGATTCCTGCAAGAGGAAGTGTGAGTTTGCCTTCCTTGGATTCTGCCTGCCTGGCTTCTTGAGGTCCCATCTCTGACTCAGAATCAGAGCTGCTGCTGAAATCCACCTTGTCGGAGGCAGCAGAGGAAGGAGCAATGATGGAGGGCAAAATGATACCGTCTCCATCTTCAGATACTACAATAGAACAAGCACCTTATAAACAAACAGGTCGCCTCCCTCTCCCCTAGCATAACCCCATAATGCCACATCTACTGTTTATACCAACTTATGCAAAAGTTAAGCCTTTGCAGACGTTATCAGTACCATTCTGGTTTAACCTTTCATTTTATCCTAAGCGTTCCAGGTGCATTTCCCAGCCACAACTGAGAGGATGAGATAAAAAAGCAGTTTCATGGTCAACATTGGTATTTCAACAATACAAAACTTCACCCTACATTTCAGACAACCCTGTAACATCACACCTCAGGACAAACACTCACCTTCAGGCGCAGTCTGCGGACGAGGCCGGGATGACGTGTGGTCCCTGCTGCAGAATGAACTGCTGCACAGCAGCCTTTGCTTCCTTCAGACACTCACATTGCTAGAGAGAAGAAGGAAGTACTCACTCACCAGTGGCAGCTGCATCCTTTTCATCTTCTTTTTTTCCAGGTACTGGAGGTGGTGGCGGAGGTGGCATTAGCTTGGAATCGATATCTTCACAGTCAGCATCGTAATCGTCCTCATCTTCATCTAATCAGGGAGGAGACAGGACTACTTATTAAGCAGATAATAAAAGGAAACCAGGCAGCCTTTCCACTTATGGTATCTCAAACCTGTCCCAATCTGATGGCAAGGACACCATTCTTATCTTGCAACTAGATGCAAAACTCTTACCAGTTCAGCTTCCTGCACAAGCTCATTTGCAAGATGAAAGTGTAAGAAAGAGTGAGAAGGAGGGAAAAAGATAAACTGACATAAAGATGACTGAAGCACTTAAAGTGTATGTATAAATATTGCGCTATCACCTCCTTTTGTTCACACTCTGCAGAGCAAATAAAGCTACTACAGAAGAAAAATGTGGTCAAAAAGTCCCAATTACCTTTGTGTCCCACTAACCACAATATGTCACCAGAAAGATTAAGGGTAAGGCAGCTTTAAGGAATATGCAAAGATTTAGCTTTTGCACCAAGGGAAAAGCTGCATGTTTCTGAAAGTCTGTTCTAGGCCAGATAGAGATACCTGGGACCAACAAAAGAACCAAAGTGCCTTCTGCAGAAAGTCAACTCAGGAAAAAAAAAAAAAGAAGAGTAAAGCAGGAGAAGGAAATTGAGGTGACTCTCTTAGGAAACAGGACCATATTTCTATCTTTGAGTAGCTCCAAGAGGCACTAGACCTCCTGCATAAACATAAGAATACAGGTCAAAGAAATATGAGCAGATATTAGGTATTCTCTGCAGGGGATAATATCTCCTAGAGGTGGAGCTGTCATGCTGATCCCCTCTTTACCTGGCCTTCGAGCTGGCTGCAGGCTGCCCATCGCCTGCTTGTACCGGCGGCTCTCATCCTCTGCCACCTCAGTGATGTCTGAGTAATCAACAGCATCTTCTGTGCTCTTGACCCAGCCTAGGGAGAAGAGAAACCTTGTCACACAAAACTTCATCCTAATATATATTACTAACTGCAGACTTCACTAAGTACATACGAATCGTTTCCTCTGCTTCCTTTACTTAGAGGAACGAAAATTCAGTCTCCCACCTGAGTACCTTTCCCCTCGTTCTAAACAAAACTCCCATAGCTTTGAACTTCCCCTAAGGATTGGGAAGTAGACAACTTTAGCACAGGAAAAACCCATCACTCAGTGAAACTGCTCAGCATGTTCAGAAGTTAAAAAAGAGACATTATATCACTGTATTAAACAGGCTTCTCTAATACAGGGGCAAACACAGGCTTACTTGTGAAGGAGGAGAGACAAGTAAAAAACTTACAAAAATTAAAGAAAATAAGTGTAAAATTGATCAGGAGATACTGTAGCATTCAGTCTGGCAAGCAGAAGAAGGTAAGGCCTTTGACAGAGGCCCTCTGGCCAGGTAACACCATGATATTCCCTGCAGACCCTGATGAGCCGAGTGCATTTTCTTCTCTCTAGCAAGAGCTCTGACCCTGCAGTCCCTCTGCTCTTTAACCCCAGGTACCCCAGTGCCAAACCTTCCTCATCCAGGTGTGCTCCCTCGCTCTCCGGGCTCTCCTCCTCGCTGGCTGTGATCTCAGTGATCAGGTTGCCCAGTCCCAGCACGCCCAGCCCAGCCAAGTGCTTCTTGGATTCCTGGGGAGACCAGAACTGGGAGGCTCCAGCAGCCAAGGCCGGGCCAGCCCCGTGATTGCCAGCTGGGTCCAGTCCCGGAGCCCACCCCAAACACCACAGGACACTCTGGGACACCCCGAGCACCCCAGTACAGCCTGAGCACCCTGAGCCATCCTGGTACATCCCAGATCACTCCAAGCACCCCGGTACACCCAGATACACCCCGAGCACCCAATTACAGCCTGAGCACCCCAGTACACACCAGGTCACCCCGAATATCCCAATACATCCTGGATTACCCCAGGCACCCCAGAACACCCTGGGTCACTCCAGTTCATCCCGGTGCACCTC